AAGAAGAAGAAGAAGAAGAAGAAGAAGAAGAAGAAGAAGAAGAAGAAGAAGAAAAAGAAGAAGAAGAAGATACAGGCAGGCAGGCAGACAGACAGGCAGTCTAAACTACTGACTTACCTATATTGGGGTGCTTCAGCAGCCGGCATATCCTTGCTTCTCTTTCCAATTTTTGGTGATCTGCAACAACAACAAAAAAAAAAAGAAAAAAATGCAATCTGAGTTAAAAAGTCCAATAAGGAGAGCAGGCATATTTCAGTAACATTAGACTCTGCTCGTGCAGTAGCAAGAAAGACCGAAGAAAAAAAACAAAGATGAAAAATAGAGAAAGCAAGATAGAAATAAAGCTAGAATGAAACAAAGCAAGAAAAAAAGAAATCAGGAAAGAAAGATGGGGAAAAAGAAAAGAAGGAAAAAAGGTAAGTAAAAATAGAAAGAAAGAAAATAAAAGGTCACAAATAAAAACATATTGGCTAATCTAGGATCGAAATCAGGCCATGCTCTATCCTTAGAAACCCGAACGTTTAAAGACACATTCAGTTTTTCAGTCATTGAAATCGATTTCTATTTTCAGAGTTCTCAGACGACAGGACAAAAGATTCATGGGGTATATCGGTCAGTCTGGTACCTTCCTTCATTTTTCTTTTGCCCCTCCCCCCCTCCCCCCACCCCGGTTCTTTTGTGTACCGCCGGAGTCTTGGAGTGGATCTGATGCCACGCAAATTTAAAGCAAAAGTCTTTCTTTCCATTATTCCCCTGAACATTTGCAAGAGTGTTAAAAAGTGAAAAAATCTTTCTTTCGTATGCGTCTGAAGCCACTGGTAATAGTAGCTGATGTTGTTTTTGTTATTTTGTTTAAAAGTGCCCGGCATTTTTGTTTAAAGTTTCTTTTCTTACAAACACCACCTAGCGGGCTGCATTCAACTAAAATCGATCGGGGTAGAGGATGCTTTCACCGCATTACCATGGCAGACAGGACTGCGGGTAGTAACCAAAGGAAAAGTGATTTGGTTGCTGTTGTTTTTTGTTGTTAGTTCGGTTGTTTTGTTTGTTTTTGTTGTTATTGTTGGGGTTTTTTGGGGGGAGGGGTTGTGGGGTTTGTTTGTTTGTTTTTTTGTTTGTTTGTTTTTTGTTTATTTTTTTTTGTTTTTTTTGTGTGTTTTTTTTTGTTGTTTTTCTTTGGGTTTTTTGTTGTTGTTTTTTTTTTGGGGGGGGTCCCCCGGGTCGTCTTTTTTTTCTAACTAACACCACAAGCATCAAACTGGCTTTGGACTGCTCATATTCCAGACGGTTCGATTAAGTTTTGTTTCCTTGAGTAAGATGCATATCGACAACATGACCGTTATTTAGTGCTGAGATAGAATACAATAGACACAGAAACAAGACAGGAAAAGAAAATACCAGTAGGATCTACCAATGGTACTGAAGAAAGAAATGAACTGATCTTGTCGTTGAGATTTGTTGAAAGAAGAGATATTTTCCACAGAAAAAGAAAAAAATAGGAAAATCGGTATTTCATACCCTGTGGGTTGACTGCCAAATGTGACAAATGATCTTGGATCGAGGTTTTTCATCCACACTGAGTGGCGTACCATCGCGCTTGCGCACTCAACAAACTTGTCACTTTCAATTGTCCCCATTACATGCACGTTGTGTTACACCATACTATCATACCCTGATCGCGTTTTCCCGTTTTTACATTTTTAAATCCTCAGCTTCTGGGAGAAAAAATCTAATAAAACTGTTTGAGACATCTAAATTTCCATTCTTCCACCCAAACCAAATCAGAAAATCAGCTTATATACTACATACGACCTGTATTACTTTACAAATAAGCAAACGCACGTGAGAGGGGGTGTGCTTTTAGGTACTTGTATCTCCGTCTCCAGTGTTCTCTTTAGGGGTGGTTCTGTTTTAGAGGTGCAGGAGGCACATGGCGTGCCCTTATGTTATATCAAGATAACTCTAGTTTTCTACTGCTTGCTCAACATAAAATAATACCGTTCTACTAACCTGGTTGGACCAAAAATAGGTTGCCCTGAAAACAAAGTCTTCAGAAAAGAAGTTGACCCAAAGAAGTTCGATCCTTGCGGAACAAGGCTTTTTTTTATTTTCATTCAGAGCTCTTTTGTCAGAATGAAAACAGAAGCGACGCAGGGTGGAGTGG